GCTGCGCACCCTGTAAAGCAGCGACCCTCCTGTGCCACGGCACATGGGATATAGGAAAGGGATCCCTTGCTCCATGGAACACGGATCCCATGCTCCAAGGGGCAGGGATCCCAGACTCCACGCTGCCCCGACGGGTGCGCTGAGCTCCTGTCACACTCCCCAGGCCACCGCTCACCCCTCAATGACTTCCAGCGCCTGCGAGCCACTGAGCTGCTGGCAGTGCCCACGGACCCGCCGCCGCCGCTGCCAGAGAAAGGCTCTGGCCAGAGAAGGGCTCTGCAGAGCAGTGTGCCCAGCGCTGTGCCACCAGCCTGTCTTGCCGGTGAGCAGGACGCGGTGCTGCCGCAGGGCGGGTGGGAGTGCAGAAGGCCATGACACCGGGGTCACTCTGTGCACTCGGATAGTGAGTGCGTGTGTGTGTGTGCCCTCGGGTCCCATGGGCCCTGACCCTGCACGGTGCCATGCCAAACTCCTGCTGTGCCTTCCAGAGCTTTCCACCATGACCAGCAGAGTCAGCTGTGCCAGCTGCTGCCCTGGACCCAACACTCACCCCGCATCCAGCTGCAGAAAAACATCCGTTATGACCTGTACCAGAAGAAAGGTGGGCTGGCCCCACAGGTGGGCACGGGGACACCGCAGGTTGGGCACAGGCCACCCAACACAGGGTTCCCCACTTCCCATGTGCCCTGGCTTGGCCCTGACATTTTGCTTGTCTCTGCCCAGACTACCTGCGGGACTGCATTGTGGGCAACGGCTCTGGCTACCGTGGCACGCGGGCCACAACGGAGAAGGGGCTGCGCTGCCAGCATTGGCAAGCCATGACACCGCATGACCATAGGTGCCCCCATGTCCCTGGCTGCCCAGCGGCACCTGCCAGTGACCCTGGGCAGTATGGGGCAATGGGGAATGGGCTGGGGACAGTGTGGAGACAGCAATAGAGACAGCATGAGGGCAATAGCACTGACCAGGGGTGGCAGAACATTGTAGCTCGGCCCACCCTGGGGCAAGGTGTACCCGGTGGCCCTCCTACACACCCTGCTGCCAGCAGGTTCCTGCCATCGCCCCGCAATGGGCTGGAGGAGAATTACTGCCGAAACCCTGACCAGGACAAGCGGGGCCCATGGTGTTACACCGTTGATCCCAATGTCCGACACCAGAGCTGTGGCATCAAGAAGTGTGAGGATGGTGAGTGCCACATCCCAGGGTCACCCTGTGCTGCATGTTACCCCCAACACTGAACTCCCCTGGCTGTTTGCAGCTGTCTGCATGACTTGCAATGGGGAGGACTACCGTGGCACTGTGGACCACACGGAATCAGGGTTGGAGTGCCAGCGCTGGGACCTGCAGCACCCGCACAAGCACCCCTACAACCCCAACAAGTACTAGCCCCCAGCCCTGGGCAGTGCACAGTGCCCCAGCCATGCCAGGTACTGGGGTGGTAGTGCCATCTCAATTGCTGCTCCCTGCCTCTGGCCCAGGTACCCCGACAAGGGATTGGATGACAACTACTGCCGCAACCCTGACAGCTCTGAGCGGCCCTGGTGCTACACCACTGACCCCAGGCGGGAGCGGGAGTACTGCCGCATCCGCATCTGCAGTAAGTCCCCACTGGTGTCATGCACAGCTGGGACTGGGGGCCCCAGGTGCCACCCTGACCCTGCCTCTCTGCCCCTCTCTGGTCACACAAGTAGAAAAACGCCCACGGTCTGTCAACATCACCACGGGCTGCTTCAGGGTCTACCGGGGCCGGGTGAATGTCACTGTGTCAGGGATCCCCTGCCAGCGCTGGGATGCCCAGGTGCCCCACAAGCACCACTTCATGCCTGAGAAGTACCCGTGCAAGTAAGAGGTTGGGGGGATGCACCTGAGGAGGGAGTGGTGGTCAGCACCCATGAGTGTGAGATTGAAGTGGGACACCCACGTGGCCCCTCCACCAGGGACCTGCAGGAGAACTACTGCCGCAACCCCGATGGCTCAGAAGCACCCTGGTGCTTCACTTCCCGCCCCACCATCCGTGTCGCCTTCTGCTTCCACATCCGCCGCTGCCCTGATGAGCAGGATGCCCAAGGTGAGCTGCCCCTGGGAACTCGCCCCCAGGCACCGCCCTCCGGTGTCCCTGCTGGGGATACCAGACCTCCCTGCTTGTCCCCAGAGTGCTACCATGGCCATGGCAAGCACTACCACGGCCACATCAGCAAGACACGCAAGGGCATCACCTGCCAGCCTTGGGCTGCCCAGACACCCCATGTGCCCCAGTGAGTGTGCGAGGCGTGTGGCGGGGACAGCGATGGGGATGGAGATGGAAATGAAGGTGGGGTGGGGATGGAGATGAGGATGGGAATGGCAACAGTGATGGTGATGACTTCCACCTGGCAGGATCTCGCCCATCAGCCACCCTGAGGCACACCTGGAAGAGAACTACTGCCGCAACCCTGACAATGATAGCCATGGCCCCTGGTGCTATACCATGGACCCCCGCACTCCCTTTGACTATTGCGCCATCAACCCCTGCTGTGAGCCCCTACCTGTACCTCTGCAGAGCTAGGGGCAACCCTGGCCACCCACTGGGATGGTTTTGGTCCCCTCAGGGTGGCAGGACCCTTGCCCCAGTGCCATCCTCTGCTTTCTCTCAGCAGCTGGCAGCAAGGTGCCCTCCATCCTGGAGAATGCAGGTGGGAGCCTGTGGGTGCTGTGTGAGTGCCATGGGGTGGGGTGCTGGTGGCACAGCCCCTGCTGATGCCCACCCTGCCTGCAGAAGTGGTGACGTTTGAACAGTGTGGCAGGCGGGATGAGAAGCTGCAGCTGAAGGGGCGCATCGTTGGTGGTCAGCCCGGCAACTCACCCTGGACTGTCAGCATCCGCAACCGGTGAGCGGGTGTCCCGCTTGCACTGCCACATGCCCGGTGTCCCCTCGGAGCTCACTCCCTGTCCCCACAGGGCTGGCGTGCACTTCTGCGGAGGGTCCTTGGTGAAGGAGCAGTGGGTGATCAGCACACGCCAGTGCTTCTCCTCCTGGTAAGGCCAGGGCTGGGGCATGGGGTGCTAGGACCCTGCCAGGCCCTCATGTCCCTGTCTCACAGCGACGCTGACCTGATGGGATACGAAGTGCAGCTGGGCACTCTCTTCAAGGACCCTGGCCCTGGGGACCCCAACCAGCAGACCATCTCCATTGCACGGATTGTCTGTGGCCCCTCTGAGTCCCAGCTGGTGATGCTGAAGCTGGCAAAGTGAGCAGCCATGTCCTGGCCTCTGCCATGCTCCCCTGCTATCTGGGCTAGCCCCATGTCCTTGTTGCCTCTCTCACCGCAGGCCAGCCACTCTGAACAAGCGCGTGGCCCTGATCTGCCTACCGCCTGACGGCCACTGTCTGTGAGATCGCTGGCTGGGGGGAAACCAGAGGTACTTGTCATGGGCAGCCCCTGTCAGGGCACTGCCTGTCCAACGCAGCCCCTGCCCATGCCATTCTCCTGCAATGGCATCCCCCTGCCTGCAGTATCTTCTGCCCCACAGCATCCCTTGCTTGAAGTATCCCCTGTCCATGGCATCTCCTTCCTGCAGGAACCCCACATCCCTGGCCTAACACTGCTCGCAGCATCTCTCTTCCGTGGCATCCCGCTTCCATGGCATTTTCCTGCCAATGTCATCCCCCTGTCCATGGCATCCCTCTTCCACAACATGTCTTTTCCACAACATCCCTCTGCCTATTACATCCTCCTGCTATGACATCCTCCTTGCGTGCCGCTCCCTGCCCACAGCATCCCCTGCCCATGTCTGTGCCACTCCCCTGTATCTCTGTGTCCCCACCACTGCATGCTATGCCCGCTGCCCCATGGTTGCTGCCCACAGGCACAGGGAACAGCAGCAGGCTGAACGTGGCACAGCTGCCAGTGCTGGCCCATAGCGAATGCAACAAAGCACTGCGTGGTCGCCTGAAGGAGAGTGAGCTGTGCACTGCCCCACTGCATGCTGGTGTGGGTGCCTGTGAGGTGAGCCAGGCTGGGAGCTGGGGACCCCTGTCTCGGGGAGCCTGCAGGCACCAGCACTGGGATGACACTCTCGGGGTCCTGCAGGGGGATTACGGGGGACCTCTGGCTTGCCTCACTGCTGACTGCTGGGTGCTGGAGGGGGTGATAACTCCTTCCCGTGTCTGTGCCCGCACCGACCAACCTGCCCTCTTCATCCGTGTTTCCCTCTATGTCGACTGGATCTACAAGGTGATGAAGATGGGCTGAGTTGGCTTAGCCCCAGCCTGGCACAGCTGCCGCTACACAATAAAGGCACAGCCATGGCTATGGGATTTGACACTACACAGGGTCTCATATGTTTATTTAGTGCAAGACACCAATCCTTGTCCCGGCCACACTTGCTTCGTCCTCTTCTGGTCCTGGTGTGGTCCCCAGGGCCAGTGGTCACTGTGGGGCTGGCTGAGCTGCAGGGCTACTGCAGGCACTAGGGACTGTGCTGACCTGTCGCATCCTGCCCGGGCTGCCCAAGGTGCTGGAGGAGCCAGCAGGCTCAAGTCTCGAAGAGGTCAGCCTCCGTCTCCACGCCTGCCAATGTGTGGCCACCCTCTGGGTCTCACAGCAGCCTGCAGGGTGGGATGGGTTGCGGGAGATGCTCAGCCAGCACGCCAGAGCTCTCTCCCCACTCTCATGTCCCTGTACCCTACCCACCGTACTGCCACACCCCTTGCCTGCAGCACCCAGTACAGCTCCAGTGTCTGTGTGGGGTTGACATGCTGGTCCTAGGCACCCACACACAGCAGCACTGGCACCTGCACCTGCAGCACAGCCCTCAGTGGGTGACCTGGCACCCTGCACCTGGCACCCTGCACCCATCCCATTCCTGTCTCACCTGGGTTGCCCAGGCAATGGGTGAGCGCCCTAGCATGTGGCCAGGCCCTCTGTGTGTGGCACCTGCTTGAAGGAGTAGGGAGGTGTAACACCTATGGCACAGAAGTGCTGATGGGTGTTGTGGGGACATGGTGTGGCACAGCACAGGATCCGGGGCTGGCACTCACCAGTCAGGGATCTCAGAGGTGCCCTGCAGCGTAGGCAGCTTGGACAAGGGGCTGCACAGAGCACAGGCTTGGTAGCACCTGGCCTGGGCTCTCAGGTGAGGAGGTGGAGAGTGATAAAGGCTCCATGGGAGCCAGCCAGCAGGGCCAGGCGCTGTGGGTCCAGGGGCTTGCTGCTCAGCACCTGCCCCACTGCCAGCTGCACCCATGAGGCCCTCACCATTGGCACCCCACCATCAGCACCCAAACATCTGTTCCCTCCCAGCACCCAAACAACATCCTCCTAGCGGCATCCCCCAGCACCCCTAGCCCAGGCCCCCTCACCTGCATATCCATCACATCCTGCTCACCCACATGGGAAAGCAGGGAGCTGATGCTGGTCTGACTAAAGCCCAGGGAGCCATGGTAGTTCACTGAGGAGATGAGAGCTGTGGGTGCCACATCTCCAGTGGCACATGGGAGCCACATGTCCCCAAGCTCCTCAGCACTCATCCAGGAGTATGGCGAGGCCCAGTTGGCAAAGTGTGGCCATGCTCAGGCTCCAGCAGGCATCAAAGACAGCATGAGGACCACCTGGAGCCAGCATGGACATCACCTGGGGTGTCCCCACCATCCCCTCACTCACCATGGGAGCACACAACAGGGGATGTGGTACTGTGCTATCTGACAGACTCAGCAGCAGGGCTTCAAAAGTCTGGGGGTCTGCACCAAGGGAGGGGTCCTGGCTCAGGACCCACCACCCCGAGCACCCAGCACCCTACCTACCCCACCACTCCCAAGGGTCCTTGGCACTAAGGCAGCATCCTGATGCAGCAGGGGCCCTCAGGCACTCACCCTGTGCAGCAGAGCTCTGCCCACTGTAGGGTGACTGGATTGTCAGGGTCTTCCAGGTGACACTGGGCACTGGTGGGGTGTCCTTCATTGGCATCCAGCAGAGGGGCAGCTCCTGACCTGCTGGCGGCAGTATGGCCACCACCTGGGCACAGGCAGCAGGCGGCACCAGGTCTGTTTTGTACCAAGGTTGTGCTATGCTGAAGCTGGCTGTGCCATGCCACGCTGTTTAGACATCCTATGCCGTGCCATGCCGTGCCATATGTGCTATACCACACTGTGCCCTGAACGCTGTGCCTGGCTGCACATTGCCATGCCATGCTCTGCTTTGCCTCACAGTGTCAGGGCTCTGCTCACCAGGCTGAGAGGGTATTGCGGGGCTGAGCAGGTGGCCACCAGCAGGTCCCACTGGTGAGTGAGCAGCATCCAGCTGCTGGGGATAGAGAGAATGTTGGTGTTTCAGCTGCTCACTGGCACCATGGATGGCTTGGTGCCACTTACCTTTCTGTCAAGTTGGTGGCAGTGGCTGCCTCCACACCCACGAGCAGCAGGACCTGTGAGGGGGCAGAGTGCAGGCAGCGGTGTCACCATGAGGTGTTAGGGTCATGTCTCTGGCCCTGCTGTCCCCGGCCCTGCTGTCCCTAGGGCTCACTGTGCAGCTTGGCTGTGGGGTGCTGTCAGCTGTCCAGCACCGCGCGGGCAACACCTCTGTGTAGAGCCCGGCAAAGGCTGCGAGTGGGACAGAGCGCTGGGCTTGTGAGCCAGGGCCATGAGCACCTGTCGTGGGAGGCTCCAAGCGCCCCTAGCAGCACTGGGTACTCTCCCCCGAGATCCACCTACTGTTGGAGCAAGCACTCAGCTCCAGATGAAAGGGCTCATGCCACCAGCCCACAAGTACCATGCCACGGTAATCTGGGGACCACAGGACCGGTGAGACAGCCAGGCTCATTCCATTGCCCCAGGCTAGATCCCCTGTGGTGCTCCCTGCACCCCATCCTGACCTGGCCAAGGGAGAGATACTCCAGGACACCCTTCAGCACCACGAGCTGCCTTCCAGGCCCAGGACACAGAGGATAGGCATGCTGTTAGTGCTCAGTGCTTCTCCCCAGTCCTCATGGTACACAAACTGCTCACTCTGCAGCACAGCCCTGTCAGCCTTATGGCCAGCAGCCCCAAGCATGGATCACTGTGCATGGCATGCTCATGGGTTGCATGGTGTGCTCGTTGGGCATGTGCCATGCTCACAGTGTGCATAGCACAGTCCTGGGGCACACAGTACATTCATGGGCTACATAACACCTACCTCCTCATTCTCATCCTCCTCCGCTGGCCAGGCTACTCCCGGGACATCTCAGGGGCTGGGGGATTACCATTTGGGCTGGCTTTTCTCAGCCAGGTAGAGGAGTCGTGCTTCTGAGTGGGACCAGGCCAGGCAGGCAAAGGGCCCTGGCATGGCAAGTGGGTGCCAAAGCCCAGCCTGGTACAGGTACAGACAGGCACCAGGAAGTCACTGAGGCTGCCAGCTGTGCTGTTCTCACCCATACTGGGGTCCGGGACCACGGGGAAGGTGTCCTACCCTCTGTGTAGACCTCCCCATGCTTCTGCAGTGCAGTGAGGTCCACACTGCGGCCGTGCCCATTGCTGTTCCCCAGCTGGTGGGAGGCTGGGCACAGTGTCTGCAGTGCCCACTGCCCCATGCTGGCACTCCTACCGCCCCAGTGAGT